AATGGTGTTACCCAGCGTAAAATAGCAAAGACTTTTAAGTTATCATCATCAACCGTGCATAACATCATCAAAAGATTCAGAGAATCTGGAACAATCGCTGTGCGTAAGGGTCAAGGCCGTAAAACTCTACTGGATGCTCGTGATCTTCGGGCCCTTAAACGTCACTGCACCTCAAACAGGAATGCCACTGTCAAGGAAATAACAGAATGGGCTCAGGGATACTTCCAGAAAGCATTGTCAGTGAACACAATCCACCGTGCCATCCGCCGTTGCCAGCTGAAACTCTACAGTGCAAAGAGGAAACCATTTCTAAGCAAGCTCCACAAGCTCAGATGTTTGCACTGGGCCAGGGGTCATTTAAAATGGAGTGTGGCAAAATGGAAGACTGTTCTGTGGTCAGATGAGTCACGATTTGAAGTTCTTTATGGAACACTGGGATGTCATGTCATCCAGACCAGAGAAGACGAGGATAGCTCAAGTTGTTATCAACGCTCTGTTCAGAAGCCTGCATCACTGATGGTATGGGGTTGCATGAGCACTTTTGGCATGGGCAGCTTGCATGTCTGGAAAGGCACCATTCATGCAGAGAACTATGTTCAGGTTCTAGAACAACATATGCTCCCATCTAGACGTCATCTTTCAGGGAAGACCCTGCATTTTTCAACACGATAATGCCAGACCACATTCTGCAACAATCACAACATCATGGCTACGTAGGAGAAGGATCCAGGTACTGAAATAGCCAGTCTGCAGTCCAGATCTTTCACCTATAGAGAACATTTGGCGCATCATAAAGAGGAAGGTGTGACAAAGAAGGCCCAAGATAATTGAACAGTTAGAGGCCTGTATTAGACATGAATGGGAGAGCATTCCTATTTCTAAACTTGAGAAACTGGTCTCCTCTGTCCCTGGACGTCTGTTGAGTGTTGTAAGAAGAAGGGGGGATGCCACACAGTGGTAAAAAAGGACTTGTCCCAACTTTTTTGGGATTTGTTGACGCCATGAAATTTGAAAACAAATTTTTCCCTTAAAATGATACATTCTCTCAGTTTAAACTTTTGATCTGTGATTTGTGTTCTATTCTGAATAAAATATTAGATGTTGGCACCTCCACATCATTGCATTCAGTTTTTATTCACAATTTTAGTGTCCCAACTTTTTTGGAATCCAGTTTGTAGATGAAGAGAACAAAATTTATTTATTGCAGAAATTATATAAAAACAAGGAGCTACAAGATCTTTTAGTCTATTGTAAGGATTTTTGACCTTCTTCAGCATGATAACTTTGTATAATGCACTAAACAGTTGTTTTTCTCTGGACTGTGTGGTGTGAGTACTTAAAAAATAATCTGAGTATTTCTGAAATCATCCACATTTATTATCTAAAAACTTTGAAGGATTTGCAGGTACTTGTGTTTGTTTTACTTAAGTGTTTTGATGGAAAGGAGAAAACCTAACAAATAATAAAAAAAAACAGCTTTTTAGCTTTATTAGCAAACAGAATTTCATTATAGAAAGGGTTCAAATGATAATTTAATGCAGCTCACTTGCTCTGTCTTCACTTGTACATGGAGACATGTACTTTCCCTGGAGCGCGTTCAGCCATAATGACCCTTAATGTGATTGAAGCGTATCACTTGTTAACATGCCAGGCTGCAGAGCGCGCAGAGAAACGTGAATAATCACTGAGACGCTCACTCGAAAACAAAACAACCCAGCGTTATGCTTTTAATAAAAATAAACTTATTATTGAGACAATAATTTAAGCATTTTCAAGTTTATTTCCTTTCTGTTTGGCTGCACAATATTGTAGTTTCATTAAAACTTTCTTGGCTAGATAGTAAAATTGTATTTCTCTTTTATTGAACACATAAAAAACCCTAATTTTAATGGAATTGATTAATACATCCAAATCTAGCTGGACTTAATAAAGCTGCATTCTCACCATCTAAATATGATTACCGTATTTTTTGGACTATAAGGTGCACTTAAAATCCTTAAATTTGCTCAAAAATCAACAGTGAGCCTTATCAGGTGCGCCTTATAGTCCGAAAAATACAGTATTACCAGATGAAAGCAGCACGTGTAAAATGATGTCATCTGTTAGTGCTTTGTGTTGTTAACAACTCTTAGCTACTACCATACCACATTTTAGCTCACTATCTGTAAAACTGACACCTAATTGCACTGTCTGTTTCTAAGATTGATTAGCTCTGGCAGCCATCTTGACTCAAGTTGACTTCGTAAGCTAATCAGTTGTAGATTGCATCTGATGATTTTTTTGGAAGTTTAATTTAAATCTGTCCAGTGGTTCATGAGACATGATGCTAACAAACACAAATACATGATCTCTTGACTGTAATGGCGGCGGATGATAAAGTTCTTTGTATCAACCTATAAACAAAAATTAGTGGTGTATTTCTTCCTTACGTGAAAGATGAAATGCAATTTCAAGTTTGGTTAAAAAATTCTATTTACAAATAAGGAAGCTTGTAACAAGGTGCCTGTTATTTAAATTTGGCTTGATTTTAAGGGTTGTGCTTCCTTTTATAACCTTAGAGCACCAAGTGATGTTTTGATTTAGATGTGATGCAGCCAACTGAGGGAGTTCTTGGAAGGAATAACATGAGAGCAATCATTGAGGCTAAAGATAGAAAATGTGCTGTTTTGGGTCATTAGAAGGGCATCGGGGAAGGATTTATTGTGACAGGGACTAGCGCATGTTCAAACTAAATAATAGGAGCTATGGAAATGAGAGACTGTGGAGGGATTTAGTTGTTCATGCAACATTTCAAATAATTTGGACCATTTTTAAGCACGATGAATCATAATGAGGGTTAGAATCCAAACACCTTTATTGAAATACCTTTTAGTGGTGACAAAATGCTTCAATTACTGTTTTCTGCTGACAGTAAACATGAGGTCGATGATGTAGTTCATTGCCAAGAGACTTGATACTGCTCTAGAACAGGGTAAATGGTAAATACTTATAAAGCGTCTTTCTATCTTATCAAGATACTCAAAGCGCTTTACACTACAATCTGTGTCCTTAGTTACCCGTTCATACAGCACTCTACTAGATCTCTACAAAGCTAATTGAACAAATCATTCTAAAGACACTAATCAGAGCTTTATCACATTCATACACTGATGGGCCACACATCGGAGGCAATGAGGGGTTCAATGTCTTGCCCAGGGACACTTCGGCATGTGACTGCTGGTGGATTCAAACCCCCAACCCTTGCATTGCATGACGACTTCTCTAACCTTTCAGCCACAGCACCTACCAGTCGGATTGCAAATAGGGATGCACAATATTAGATTTTTGGCCGATATCCGATTTATTAAAACTTATTTGGCTGATACCGATATTTTATATACGTTCCTTTGTCAGAACATAGCCTTCTCTCTTATTTAGGCTTATTTGCTACAAAAAAATGTGCAACAGCTGTAAGAGCTGGTGACATATATTCAGTAACAGCCATATGATATGCATAGCACTTTAACTTATATTAAATGAAAAGTGTTAAATGTTATTTATTAGCATTAGTCACCTGCAATGCTGTCTCACTTGTGGAGGCTTGTTCCAGGTTCCTAGCTGCAGTGAGGGATCCTCTGCACTCTTTTGCATGAAAGACAGACTTTTTAAGTTCAAAGTTTTTGTCTATCCATTGTGCTGTAAGACTAATCATGCTAACAGGGCTAACACAACGTCCAAATGTTTGTGGTAAAACTTACCCAACAAGTCGTGCTATCGGCTATTAGCTGAACTTTAATGCTAATATCGTCCGATACCATGCCGATAATATTGTGCATCCCTAATCGCAAAGGCATTATGAATAGATTGCATGATGTTAAAAAATAGATGTCATCCTCAATATGAAATTTGTCACTTGATTGACATACTGGGCAGCCAGTCTGTGGCCCAGTTTACGCGACGTGAAACCACAGCCTTTCTGCTGCGGTTCGGCTGTTCATTTACGCAACAGCCCTCATTACAGGGAACCCCCCACGGAGGTGTGAAATGCTCCTTAATTGTAAAGTCACACATGCGCACTATGGGTGGCTGCGATCACGTTTTTCTGCGCCGACAACAGTTATAATAAATGGCAGAGGGCAGAGTGTTCTTGTGCTACTCACCCTTTTTCAGCATCTAGGAGCAAAACTAATAAAGTCCAGTTCTAAATAGACGTTGGTGTATTCACCAGTTTGGATGCACCATATTTTTGGACTATAAGGCGATAATTGAAGGATTTTAAGTGCGCCTTATAGTTCGAAAGATACGGTAACCGTGATCATGCAAACACTGCAATTGAGAAGAATGCAGCATAGCCCTTCAGGGTTGCCAGATAAATTTAAAATGTCTTATTCACCCCCTCCTTTTCTGTGCAAAAATTCAACGAACACAACACACACCTCACCTTAAAATATCTTTACTCAGCACATATGACTTTTTAGGTCAAAATACTATAATTTAAAAGCCACAGTACTATAGTTCATAAATTCTTATTTGGCAACCCGACTGATATGGAAACTACAGCGTTTTCATGTAAACCCACTCATTTTTTTTGTTTATTATTATCCCCAATAAATATTGAAAAAACACTAAAGTTGTTCTCATGTCAACGGGGCCTTATAGTAGGTAGATCACTTTGACTCGGTCATTTTAAAAGTAGCTCGTATTATGAGAAAGTGTGGACACCCCTGCACTAAGAGAAAGCAAATCTTTATGTTTCAACTGCAGAACTCATAATTTTCTGATGGATATGAAATGATCCAGTTCTCAGATGACAGATGTTGCACGTCAAAACTTTAAGACACAGAATAAATCACCTGAATATCGGGATGAAACATACTATTTGACAAACAAAATTACTGTAGTTTGAAACGAGTATTCTTCTGGGAAATAAGAAGGCTTCACAGCTTAGCTGATGCCAAGCAAACAAAAAAAATCTACGTTTTCTGAAGATAACTGATAGATGTGCTCTTTTTTTCATGCAGGTTCCGAATGTTGTTCGTGGCAGGAGAGCGATGCGATGTGGAGACGCTGGAGTGGGCAAAGAAGAGCTTTAGGGTTCCAGTTTTGGATCACTGGTGGCAGACTGGTAGGAAAACTAAATCCTTACAGACTTAAACAAGAGACGAGATCTCCTTTTGAACGTTTGTCTAAGCTTTTAGGAGGACCAATCAGTGGAAATCTGACAAAACAGGAAATATCAGTTTAACTATTTATTTAAAAGCTAAACTTAATGGGGTTTTTATTTAAAATATTAAATATTGTGTGGTTGATCATCCACAGTGCATGAGTCTAATTAAAAGTTTTTAATAGCACTTTTGGAAACAGCTAATGTGTTAACCACATTAGCTGGTGAGACTTTAGATTTACGTTCCTTTTTTTGTTTTCTGCAGTGGGTTCTTGAATGTAAAAGCGATTTGTCATGTTTAGAAAAGGCTTGAATTCAGGCAGCATGCTACACTGCTAATGTCAAGCCCCCCTACCTCCCTCAGTTTGATTGCTTTCCTCCCCCTGTGTCACAAAGCGATGATGAATGCGTTCGCTGCTGCAGATGAGCTCAACTGGACGCCTCTTTGTTTTGTAATATCCTGCCTGTGCAGATGGAGGATCGATGCTGGACGCGACGACACATCTGTGTTAAATAAGGAATCAATGCTGCTGTTGGGTTGTTGGACAGCAGACTACCTTCAACGTTTGTACACGCAGTGTCTGAGTGCAGATTAGCCCACTTGACTGATTGGCCTGTCCAAGATCAATCGGAGGCGTCAAGAGCTCCATATTGAAATCTTACTAAAATGTGATTCATCACATTGATAACTTGGGTTCTTTTGTTGTTACAGTCACCCTATCACAAAAATGCATTCCATACCCTGCTTATAGTTTGAAGCTGAAATCAACATTTTAAGACCAAAAATATTTGGATAAGTCAAGAAAAAAAATTCTTGTTGTAAGCTAAATGAGTACAAGTTTCTTTTATACACCCCGAAAACACTCACATTTGGGGGCGGGGACGGGGTGACGGGAGGTCTGTCAGGGTGAAATATAGAAACATAACCAGGCCTGTCACGATAAACAATAAATCAATTAATCGCATGATAAATTAAAATTATCGACCTCATTTTCATTTATTGGCTTTATCTCTTTTTTGTGTCTCTCTTTCTACTGAAGACACTGGATGACAAAAGGCTCAACTCCGGTGCTCTTCAATGACCCCTCCCTTTATCTTTAAAATCTGTTTTAACCGTCCAAAAATCACGTTTTTGGATCGTTAAAAGCAGCTAAGCTGAGAAGCTAAGCTACAAACCAAGTAAGCTAACAGGCCGAACTCAGGGGAAAAAACGTCCGTCTTGTCGAAGCTCCAAAATTCACAGTTGAAACCTGTGCCTTCATGTAAAAAGTTGTTTTCCTCTGAAAAAAGAAGCTGAGAACTTGTTTACTGATATTTTAATTAAAAGCTTTGTGTGACAAATGCTTTGCTAAAGAGCTCAAAACATACCGAACGTCTGCCATTTTAAAAACCGAAAAACAAGAACAAGAGACAGCCCATGTCATGTCAAGGGCTGCTCACACCCTCACTGTCCATCCTTCGGTTCATACAGTCTTATACTGCCATCAAGTGGTCAAAAAAGGTACTACACAAAAATTAACCTACATTTCTTAAATTTGTCAATAATTACTAATGTCAAATTTCAAACAATATTATCGTTTATCGCGATAATTTCTGAGACAATTAATCGCCCAGAAAATGTTATCGTGACAGGCCTAAACCTAAGTTGTTAAAATTATGAATGAGATACATGGATTGGCTGCTCCTGTGTGTGGACTGCGGGGTGTGGGAGAGGAGTGGCGGCTTGTACCCCGGCACTTAAGGTATATATGGATTCAGGTCTCTAGTAATAAGTCCCTGAGGCTCAATGGGACTAACCGGTATAAAAAAAGGTTGAATGAATAAACTCGATGTGCTAGATTGGCTATAAACATTTAAAGGTTTGATGGGGAGTGGTGGCGCAGAGGTTAGAGAAGATGGGCCTGTGATCAGAAAGTCGCAGGTTCAACTCCCCGGACTGACAACATCAAAATGTGGGTGGAAAAGGTGAAACACACACCTGCCTCCACCCTCATTTGCCCCACTCTAAGCCCTTGAGCAAGGCCCTTAAACCCCACCATCTGCTCCCAAACAGGTCTCTCTTGAAAATGAGTTCTCATGATAAAGGGTAAATAAATAAATAAATAAATAAATAAATGCTTGTTTAGCTTCTCTGCACACTGGATCTAGTCTTATGCACTGCTGTCTGCCAAACAGTTATGTGGATTTATACAGGAGAGCATGTGAAGTAGGTGATGCTGAATGCATGAAACATGAATCACGTTCAGTATTTTGTGTAAACGTGCAACGTTTATGGAATAAAAAATGATGCTGATGATGCAATCATGCTGACTTGGAGACACTTCAGCTGATTGAGCATCACAGAAACATGGTCCAATAACAAACCATGGCTAAAAGTGTCGTAGAGTTCAATAACTTTATTTTAACTATTAGTTTGACTCAGTTTGGTTGAATAAATATTGGTTAAGTGATGCGAATCCTGTCTTGTAACCACCTAACACACCTGGTTAGATGTTTTTTAATAGACCTTACAAAGTGAGCATTAAGCACTTGGCGTTGTTATGAATTTTCCTCTGTTGCAGTTAATATTTTTTTCTGTTAGAGAAGGTGTTTTGAGCGTTGACTGATCATGCAGCAGTTTGGGAGTTGACGGGTTGCCAATCACAGAATCGGGAAATGTGTTTCTCTACCACATGATTGATCTGTTTTTATTGTTTCACTAAAATGTGGATTCTGTTTTTTTCCTGCAGATTTAGACCAAAAACATGCATGTTAGGCTGCCTTCAGGCCCAGGCCTCCCTTGCAAAAGAGATCTGTTATCTCAATGGGATTTGCCTGTTTAAATAAAGGTTAATAATTAATAATAATAATAATAATTCGTTTTTAAGAACTTTACATACCATTCAAATATCTCCTGCTTCTTTCCCTTTGTACACACACTCCACTAAAATAAAACCTAGCTACATTTTGTGGTTAATTATTGTAGCCGTGTGATTTATAGAGTTCAGAAAACAACCTCTGGCATCCCCTGGACTTCACTCTAGATGGAAAATCCCAAATGATTTTCCTTCCATCTCCCGCCTGCTGAACTCGATAACCAGCAGCTGGTGTTGAAATTCAAATGTGTTCACTGCTTTCCTCCCCATCTGACTTCCTTCTGTTTGACTGACTTTAAATGGGAGTAAATGAAGCTACTACCACACTGTCGGAAACAGTTGGAGGGTTTTCCCCGTTCTCCTTTTCAGCGTTTTCTCTCACAAATGACATTAAATGCAAAGCTGGCCTCTTTAAACTGCTCATAGCGTGGCCGTTGTGTCATCTCTCGTCTTTTCAGCTGCGGTTCCATTTGTATAATGGCTGAAAAATTGCAAAAATAGATTTTTTTTTTACTTAAGTGGTTAAAGGAAACCAAGTCTCCAAATAAAATACTTGTAATATGAAAGATTTATTTTTATTTTTTTTGTCAAACAGAAAGAAGTTGCTTTTCTGGTTGTCTTGATATACATTTTTCAGTCATATGTTTTTTTTTATTCACCTGCATGTAGTTGTAGCATCTTCCATTGGGTCACTTTAGAGCTTTTTGGCAAATAAAGCTTCTCTGCCTTACTTCAGCTGCTATGCTCACCCACCCTAAGGTGTAGGAAAAAATATTCAGGCCTCCTCCCCTCAGCTCAACAAGACATTGAGCTTCTTTCACATAACTCTTGACAGTATTTTTTTATATCAGTATATTGTTTCTGTAAAATTATTGTAGAATGTTTCGATCCAAAAAAGTCTTTCCTACTGTGATTTAAAATCCGTAACACCTCTTTCCACTGGAAACACTTCCAGATGACTTTTGTGACTTTTAAGCAATGCTAGATTTTAATCTTTTGAAAAGATTAAAAACTATTTACCGTATAGTATAAGTCGCACCTTTTTGCATAAATTTGCAAGTCCTGCAACTTATAGACCGATGCGACTAATATATGTTTTCCCCCCCATATTTATAACCCAATTTTTGTCTGACATTTTAAATATTCATTCATAGACCTGAACCAGTAAGCAGTACCAGTTGCAGCCGCTAGAGGGCCCTCTAGGCTTTTATATGTTGTTCCTCTACCCGAGAAGGAAGTGGGCAGCGGAGTGCATGTTCCACGCCCCGGGAAGCAGCTAGGTGTGGGTAGACGAAGGAGCCTTCATCGCGGGGAGGAACACCAGCGCCCAGACGAAATGAAGCTGTTTTGACCATCAAAGTGCATTTATTAAGCAAACATTAGACTGAGACACACCTTTACTATAATTTTGAGCAAACATATAATTGTTTTTGTGTTAATCTTGTTAAATTCTTATTAAAGTCCTCCCGTGCTTGCTCCCGCAGCTGCCGTTTGGCAGCCCATCGATTTTTGGCACTACACCGGCCCACATTTCCGGTTTGTCAGTGGTGACGCGTAACAAACGTGACGTGTCAGCAGTGATGCATAACAGATGCGACGTATACGGCGAAGCGACATATTTATGAATTTTTCAATTTTATTTTAACAAATATGGACTGACAGACTTACTGGGCCGAGCAACGTGTACAGCGGAAAATACGGTATTTATGTTTGTTTCCACTTTCAGACATTTTTGAACTGATGCAACTTATACGCCGGAGAGACTTGTACGGCGGAAAATACGGTAGTACTTTTTTTTATAGATTACATCAGTGAGCTAAATCACAGCTGACTGATGAACTGAGATCTCTTTAAATCTATTTGAGGTTTGAAAAGTGAAAGGTCAGCTGAGCATCCAGTTTGTCTCCATGGAGCCATGACTCATTGCACAGAGCCTCAGTTCTGTATCACAGTTTTTAGATCGTTTACTTGAATCTACACTTTACTGAAAATATTTAATTAACAAGCTCAGAGATTAGGAAATCTCTTCTAAGCTTGTACTTCGGGGAGTCTTGCTAGAGAGAATAGCTAAATTGAGAGCGTGTGCAGCTGACTCCATAATTTTTC